AAAAAAAAACAAAACTTCAGCCAAGACTTGAGTTAAAATAGAAGAGAAGGGATAAAAAGAGATTGCGAATAAATTATGGCTTAAAAATTGAAAGTAAAGTGTTGTAGACTTTGAAAATGCAAGAAAAATGTTTTCCAATCGAAAATTTCAAAGCTGTCAGTGATAAAGTTGGCAAACAAGATCACTCTTTGCCTTTAACCCACAAAAAATTTATCATCAAGATAGATGAAATGTGATCTCTGAAATAAATGTTTGTGAAAAGGCTTTAGAGAACGAAAAAGTTTGAAAATTTAGTCGAATTTTCATTTTGAGTGATTCAAAAGTGAATTTTTCGAGTGTTCTTTCGAAAAGATTATTTTAAAATGAAACTATTCCTGACTAGGGGATGCTTTTGGATTTATAGCTTGCTTTTGAGCTTAGAATTAGCACATCTTGTACAATTTTTGTGCACTGGCATGGTGTAGATCGTTTGAAGATGACGGCTCTCAAGTTTTGAGATGTTTAGCTTCAAAGTTTACGTCATAATTGGGTATCCACGAAACCGCACAACCCACGAGTCATAAGGGTTTCACAGACATTTGTAAACATGAGTTTGTGGCCTAGTGGATCCTAGAGCCTAGAGCTGGAGGCTAAAGCCTAGCGCTGGAGTCTAGAGCCTAGAACTGGAGCCTAGAGCCTAGAGCTGGAGTCTAGAGCCTAGAACTGGAGCCTAGAGCCTAGAGCTGGAGTCTAGAGCCTAGAACTGGAGCCTAGAGCCTAGAGCTGGAGTCTAGAGCCTAGAACTGGCCAGAGCCAGAGCTGGGTCTAGAGCCCAGAACTGGAGCCTAGAGCCTAGAGCTGGAGCCTAAAGCCTAGAGCTGAAGCCTAGAGCCTAGGACTGGAGCCTAGAGCCTAGAGCTGGAGCCTAGAGTCTAGAGCTGGGGCCTAGATCCTAGAGCTGGAGTCTAAAGCATAGAGCTGGAGCCTAGAGCCTAGAGCTGGAGCCTAGAGTCTAGAGCTGGGGCCTAGATCCTAGAGCTGGAGTCTAAAGCATAGAGCTGGAGCCTAGAGCCTAGAGCTGAAGCCTAGAGCTTAGAACTGGAGCCTAGAGCTTAGAGCTGGAGCCTAGAGCTCTCGCTCTTTTGTTCCTGGTTCAGATCCGGCTGCGGCTCAACTTTTTGCTATTGCTAAAAACTGTTTCAATAGTTTTTTATCTAAAGATAGCGTAACTCTATTTTAACGTTAGAAATAGAAAACGAAATAGAAATAGACCCGTGGGCGCGCGGTTTCGTCGATGCTCAATTATGACATAAACTTTGAAACTAAACATCTCAAAACTTTAGAACCGTCATCTCTAAACGATCTACACCATCGGAATCAGTGCAAAAAATTGTAGAAGATTTGCTAGGTTTAAGCCCAAAAGCAAGATGTAAATCCAAAAGCATCCCTAGTTAGTACACTTGTTTCCAGCTGAAAGGCCACAGTGAATCCTGAACCAAGCAATCTACATCATCGGAATCAGTGCAAAAAATTGTACAAGATGTGCTAGGCTTAATTGTACAAGATGTGCTAGGTTTAAGCCCAAAAGCAAGGTGTAAACCCAAAAGCATACATAATGAGTTAAATCAGTCAAATTAATAGTTTTTCTGGAGCAAACCTCACATTTTCTATCTTTTTATCATTCCCCTTTCTTCTATTTCTTCTATTTCTTCTTCTATTTCTTCTATTTCTTCTTCTTTTTCGAGTCGTTTTACTATCTTTTACCCCATTTTTCGCTCGTTCTCCGAAATTTTTGGAAAACCGCTTTTTTAAGCGCCTTTCAACGTTGAAAAAAACGTGTGATAAGCTACGACGCAAAGCCATTGTTCAGCAAATCGAAAAGTCGATTTCAAAGCGGAACTTTGATTGGTTTTTGTTGGATTTGGGTCAACTCGATGATGAGTTTAGATCAACTAAATGAGCAATTACAATTACATGACTCAATCACATGACTTTGGGGCTACTTTTTTGAGCTTTAAAAAGAATTTCAAAGCTTGAAAAATCATTAGCGTTAATCTTTGGTCATCGTTAAAGATCAAACGATCTTTAACGATCGTTTGAAAGCCCCAAATCTTTGGTCATCGTTGGTAATCTTTGGTCATCGTTAAAGATCGATCAAACGATCTTTAACCCATTCGAAACCGCAGCGTTTTTTCCTTTTTTTCGTCTACGGACCAAGCCCTTTTTTGACATTTTTGACTCCGAAGCAGTTTATTTATGGTTGGAAAGATGTAAGAGAGTCTCCTACACCATTTATTTTTGATGAAGAACGATTTGGATTTGACTTCAGTACTTTCCAAGGTCCTATCGATTATTGTTCTTATTTTATCGACGACAAATGTTAGTAGGCGAGTCTAATAAACAACATGGAAAAAGGAAAACAAACTGGCAGGATTTCGATGCAAAATCTTTCAAGCTCTTCCTGGCTTCAAATGGGAATCGTCAAATTACCGAGGATTCGTGACTACTGGAGTAGCAGGCCTGGATTAGGAGGATTTTCCCAAATGTCCCACATTATGTCAAGAGCAAAATTTGAATCTATTCTTCGAAACCTGCGTTTTTGTGATAATGAACTGGATCCTGCAGGAGATCGGCTTTATAAGATTAGAGCTATTATGGAACATTTTAATGCAAAACCAGAGACTGCATTGATTCCGGGTAAATATGAAACATCTTTTTTGCCCACGTAATTTGTAGATCTGCTACAATTGGAATATGCATGCCTGAAAAACAGCAAGAAAAAGCAATTAATTGAATGAAAATAACTCAATTAGCGCTGCAGCGGTCCGTTCCTGAATTTTTGCTGCAGCGATTATTCGCTGCAGAAGTTTCGAATGGGTTAACGATCGTTTGAAAGCTCCAAATATCCTCTCCAAGATTAATAAGTTTAAGAAATCAATGAAAGTCTTAGACTAATCAATAAAACTAAATTAGACTAACTAAATCCGAGTTCCAATTAGTAAAGCCAATAAAATGAATATCTCCAATCGATTGACCAACTCCAAAAACCACCGGATGCAAATTTACAAAGAACTGGGCAAGAACTTACCGCTTCAGCTGGTCCAGGTATTGGCAAAAACTCAGTGCTCTCATCTTTCTCCCTTGTACTGCAACAAAGCACCGAACATGACCACTTTAAACCCATCAGTAAAGCGGTTTAATATCGATGAATCATTTTTAAGAAAATAGAAAACTTCTAACAAGCTCGATACATGAATTTCTCCAAATTTTCGTCCCTGAAGTTCTCTCATTTTTCTCATTCCATATTCATCTCCAAACTTTGGCATCATTCGGCACGCAACGCGATCAAAAATGAGGGAAATAAGGGGAAATGATGTGAAAAGGAACTTCGGCTAACTGTAATTAAAAGTTTATGTAGAAGTTAGTTGAAAAATTGTTAAAAGAATCTAATGAATCTAATCTAATGATACTGGAACAATTGGAATTGCAGAAAAATTGTTGAAAATGAATCTAAAATCTAATCTAACCATTCTGTAACACTTAGAATTACAGATAAATTGTTAAAAGGAATCTACTGGATCTAAAAACTAAGCTAGTCACACTGTAACAATTGGAGTTACGGAAAAATTGTTGAAACTAATCTACTGAATCCAATCTAATGACACTGGAACAATTGGAATTGCAGAGAAATTGTAAAAATGAATCTACTGGATCTAAAACTTATCTAATGATACTGTAACACTTAGAATTACAGAGAAATTGTTAAAATGAACCTACTGGATCTAAAAACTAAGCTAGTCATACTGTAACAATTGGAGTTACAGAAAAATTGTTGAAATGAATCTAATGAATCTAATCTAATGACACTATAACATTTAGAATTACAGAGAAATTGTTAAAATGAATCTACTGGACCTAATCTAACGACACTGTAACACTTGGAATTATAGAAAAATTGTTAAAAGGAGTCTACTGAACCTAAAATCTGATTTAATGACACTGTAATATTTAGAATTACAGAAAAATTGTTAAAATGAATCTACTGGATCTAAAATCTGATCTAATGACACTGTAACATTTAGAATTACAGAGAAGTTGTTGAAATGAACCTAATGAATCTAATCTAATGACACTGTATCACTTGGAATCACAGGAAAATTGTTAAAATGAATCTAATGAATCTAAAATCTAATCTAATCATACTGTAACACTTAGAATTACAGAGAAATTGTTGAAAGGAATCTACTGGATCTAATCTAATGTTACTGGAACAATTGGAATTGCAGAGAAATTGTTAAAATGAATCTAAATTCTATTCCAATGACACTGTAACACTTGGGATTAAAGACAAATTGTTAAAATGAATCTAATGAGTTTAATCTAATCTAATGACGCTGTAACACCTACAGTTTTTAATCATAAACAGGCTCTTGAACCTTCAACTCTTCAAACTTCAACTCTTCAAACTTCAACTCTTCAAACTTCAACTCTTCAACCTTCAACTCTTCAACCTTCAACTCTTCAACCTTCAACTCTTCAACCTTCAACTCTTCAACCTTCAACTCTTCAACCTTCAACTCTTCAACCTTCAACTCTTCAACCTTCAACTCTTCAACCTTCAACTCTTCAACCTTCAACTCTTCAACCTTCAACTCTCCAACCTTCAACTCTCCAACTCTTCAACTCTTCAACCTTCAACTCTTCAACCTTCAACCGTTTATTCACAGAATGTTATTTTATTTAAATCACTGACAATCCGTTAAACAAAAAGATTGTTTTAACCTTGATTTAGAATATTTTTGATTAATTTGATTGATTGGAAGGTTGGAAACTTACAACATTATGTATTATTTGCTTCTTATTCTTCTTTTTTTTTGGCATGAGTCCGACAAGAGCTAAAAGCTTTACGACCACTTGATATGCATTCAAGTGGGCTCTCGAATCGATTCAAAGAAACCAAATAGTCAAACAGAGTTGATATAATCTTTTGACAAAAGATCTCTCCTTCATTTTATTCAAATATGCCTCATTCCCCAATCGGTCGTCCAATTCGAGTCGGACTTTTCGAGCATGGATCCGATGCGTTCAAATGTTTCCGCAGTTTGCCTAAACATTGTACAAAACCTGGAGCCGAGATTGAGATTGTGGCAATGGTGATGAAATTGTTGGATTGGGACTGGGAAGTGGTGAGGATTTCATTCAAATGTACAGGCTGGACCATAATCATAGGTGCAGATAAAAAGCTTTGTAAGCTTTGCGTTGTAAGCTTTGCCTTGTAAGCTTTGCTTTGTAAGCTTTGCTTTGTAAACTTTGCTTTCTAAGCTTTGCTTTGTAAGCTTTTCTTTGTAAGCTTTGCCTTGTAAGCCTTGTAAGTAGACAAAATGAAACTTTAGAGAGTCAAATTTTCTTTTAAACTCTTTATTTGCTACCAATGAATGACAAATTAACAATTAAATTTAAAGTGATTACCATTCTTAGCCCAGCAGCAAGCGTTTAGGAAAGGCGATAAAGCATCATCGAGTTCATCCCAGGCTTTCAGAAGACTTTTCTTCAAAGTTCTGTGTGCAATCAGCGCAAGCTCGTAGTCCAATGCTAGCTAGTTCGACTCCGTTCCAGGCCTTTTTTGCCATAAAAGGTAAAGATAACAAAACTTTCTGGTAATAGCCATGCCCGGGTTTTCCGTTAGAAAATACCGCCAGTTAAAGTTCTTTCAAAATAACATAAAAGGAAAGAACTTCTTTTGTTTGTTCGTCTTCTAGATCGTCATCTGTTTGTCTTCTGCTTGTTCGTCTTCTAGATCGTCATCTGTTTGTCTTCTGCTTGTTCGTCTTCTAGATCGTCTTCTAGATCGTCTCCTGCTTCTTCGTCTTCTAGATCATCATCTGTTCGTCTCCTGCCTCTTCGTCTTCTAGATCGTCATCTGTTCGCCTCCTGCTTCTTCGTCTTCTAGATCATCTTCTGTTCGTCTCCTGCTTCTTCGTCTTCTAAAGCTAAATCTTGGTTTTTCGAAAGAGCCCAGACTAAAAACGGCTACGTTCAACTTTAGAGTCACATATTTCAATAAAATATCAACTGGTCCTTTAATTTTTGGCATAAATATTAAGTAATGTTGATCCTTAATATACTGAAAAAAGTTCAAGCAAAAAGATCAGATCTCAAGGATCAAAAAGATAGTTGCCAGCAGGCGCAGGTACCGCTGGTTGAAACTCGACCTGCGGTTACTTTTTAAAGCACCCAAGTACCCAATAATCAATCGAATTCAAAATCTTTTTGCACTATTTTTTAGAGGAGATTCAGGGCTTTCGAACAGTGTATTACACTTACTGGCTGAGGTTTTTAATCTTTTTATTTTTCGAAAGATATGTGAGGGCTGATTTTCTTCCTACCAGCCTAATAAATTGCGAGAACTACCTTTCCAAAAAAGTTTTCCGGATAATTTTAAGACATCTTTTAAAGCCTTTAAAGCCCTTTAAAGCCTTTAAAGCCCTTTAAAGCCTTTAAAGCCCTTTAAAGCTATACTTACGGCTTAGCAAAAGTAAAATAGGTTACGTAGCTTACGTACATGCATAGCCTTGTTCTCAAGTCTACAATTCTAAACCCAATAATGCATAGCCTTGTTCTCAAGTCTACAATTCTAAACTCAATTCTAAACAAACAATTTTGCAGGTAGACACAGCTCAAGTCTTTGGTACCAGCGATTTTGGGGTTCTTCAAGACAATGGCAGTTACTCGGGTCTTCTGGGTCTTCTCGCGAATGAGAAGATTGATATGAGTGGACTGTCGATTCGTGTCACTCCTGATCGAATGAAATTCGTCCATTTCACTTTCCCAACTCGATACTTTCAGGTTTATAATTGAGAATTTGTAGATTATCTTGGAAATCTAGCAAGTTTACATCATCAGGAAACCGCCGGATGCCGATTTTCGAAATTTCATCTTTTCGACGTTTAGTTTAGAGATTTGGTTTTTACTGCTAGCGACAATTGTTGGAGTTAGTTGGCTACCAAATTTTACCACAACCAACAACTCTCGTAAATCTAGTAATTTCTTCTTTTTAGGTGGCTTTATTTCGTTTCTTGGTAAATGTCTTTGTTCTCAAACACAAAGGTCCAAAGTCTTCAATTGCTTCGAGAAGTTTACTGGTATGTTTACTGGTATGTTTACTGGTATGTTTACTGGTATGTTTACTGGTTCTGTTAGAAAATACCGCCAATTAAAGTTATGGCACTCTTTAAAGGGGACTCTCACAAGAATCAGAAAGCAATAGAATGACTCGTTACCGACTCGTTAACAGCCCAAGCTCGTAGTCCAATGCTAGCTAGTTCGACTGCGTTCCAGGCCTTTTTTGCCATAAAAGGTAAAGATAACAAAACTTGATTTAAAACTACAGTCAAACCTCGATTTAACAATTCTCAAGGGACCGGAATTCTCCTTCAATTTTCCTTCAATCTCCTTCAATTCTCCTTAAATCAAGTAAATCGTTAAATCGATCGTCTTTATATGGTAAATAGGGGGGCCAAAAAGGGAAATCGTTAAATCGAGAGTCGGTAGATTGAGATTTGACTGTGATAAACAACAAACAATTCAACATGGAAAGATGGAAAGATGGGAGAGAACATGGAAAGACTCGACAAAATGATAAATTGAATGAAGCAGAATTAAGCTGAAAAGTTTGAAATCTTGTATTTCAGATATTTCAGCTAAAAACTTCAGAAAATTCTTATTTTGAGATGTTCAAAAGATTACCGGCTTTAGTTTTGAAAACGATCTAAGATCTGAGTACTCATAGCCTTCGTTATAGCTCCTTGTGAGCACCAGACTTTCAACCTTTCAACCTGTTGCAAAGCCGTTTTCCAGGAAACCTACGCAATGATGGTTCGTCAGAAGATCCCCAATGTTGATCTTCTTTCTGGAATGATCGTCGAAGCAACGATCATTTTGGTGACAATGGTCTTGTACATCTACTATCAATCATCGATGAATTCAAAGCTGACAGCACCCTCGTTGACTGCAATTCCGTTTAGGCATCAAAGTCAACTTATAGGTTAGTGAGCTAGGTCACCGTTAGGTCCCCAATGTTGAATCTTCTTCAGAAGATCCCCAAGGTTGATCCTCTATCTGGAATGGTCACCGTTAGGCCACCGTTAGGTCACCGTTAGGTCACCGTTAGGTCACCGTTAGGTCACCGTTAGGTCACCGTTAGGTCACCGTTAGGTCACCGTTAGGTCACCGTTAGGTCACCGTTAGGTCACCGTTAGGTCACCGTTAGGTCCCCAATGTTGAATCTTCTTCAGAAGATCCCCAAGGTTGATCTTCTATCTGGAATGGCCACCGTTAGGTCACAGAGTGACGCAGAGTCACAGTTAAATCAAAGCAAAGCATTAGACTAAGCTGAACACAAGAAAATGCATGAAGTAAATGTTCTAGAATTGTTGGAACACCACAAAACCTATTTGACTTACTTCAACGGGCTTCCGCTACTCGAGGGATCGACAAAGAAAAATACAAGACGGCTGAAAAAGCTCAGGTATGTAGCAAATCATGAAAAAACATTGGTTTAATGAAAATTGATTGGTTGATCTTGATCTTGACCTAAGTTGGCCTAAGTTGGGGTTACCTAAGTTGCCTAACTTGTAGTATTTTTTGGCTTCACGCACTTCTATGCGAATTTCCCCACACTATTTTGCTGTTTTAGTTGTTGTTTGTTTATTTGCTGTTGCTTTTGTTCAACCCACACTGAAGCAATTACTGATTACTGAGCTTTCCAAGTGCTAGTTCTAATTCAAATAAATTTAATCAATCAGTTGAACGATCCAAGAATTCTTCTCTTTCAGCACAACAAATCCGACAGTCGTCCACAGTGATTCCGAAGAGCTAAACGCTGAAATCAAGTAAGTTTTTTTGATTTTATTCTATTCTTTTCGATTCTTTTCTATTCTTTTCTATTTAAGTCAAATATTTTCAGAAGAGGTGGCGTTTTCTTTTCCTCTTATGATATCGAATTTCTTCCAGCACCTATTAGTACCTGGAATAAGAATGAGGTAAATGAAAGAATGGTTTTTGAAGAGAAAATAAGCCAAAGCATCAGTAAATTTCTTTATTTAGACTTTAAGATTTAGGATTAAGATAAGTTTAAGATAAGATTAAGATAAGATTAAGATAAGAATAGGATAAGAATAAGATAAGATTAAGATAAGCTTTACGATTTAAGGTCTTTTCTAATTTTCAGGGACTTACCGTAATCCGAGACACCACCGGGATCACAAGCTACGTCGCCTATGGGTTCAGTCGAAAGAATAAAGCGCTTTGCAATCAGTAAGCATGATCAATATTATCAATAAAAACGGCATGCTTATGTTTGATCGTTGAGATCTCAGTTTCTAGAACAACTATCAATCTGCAAATTGTTTCATTCGAAAGCCAAGAATGTCAGCTTTTAATTGCTATCTCAAATATAGAAAATTCTTATAGGTGAGTGCCTTAAAGTTGAGATCCTTAAAGTTGAGATCTGAACGGACAAATGTGAGCACTGAGCTTGTATCGATAATATCGATAATCTCGATAAGCAAATCTAGTGAGTACTAGACATTGGCGCTACAAGCTACAAGATCAGACTACAAACGCTTGTAGAAATGTTTGTTAGAATGGTTATTTTTAGATCGGACAAACTTTGGGCTTTTGAATGAAAAAAAGATCATTAATAAAAAGATTAATTCACCATCCCTGCTCTGATAACATACGATTTATCACAGTTTGTATTCTTGATAGGACTACAAACCTAAAAAACGTTATATTTCAGTGTAGAGATGGTGGATTGACTTGATCTTGATGCCATTCAAAAGCCCAAATTTAGCTCGATCTTTTGGTAAAAACAGTTTGTAAAAATGGCTATTCTACGCGTTTCTACAAGCGTTTGTAGTCTGATTTTGTAATTTGTAGTCGGATTTTGTAGTTTGTCGTCTGGTTTTGTAGTTTGTAGTCTGATCTTGTAGTTTGTAGTTTCGTTATGTCTAGTAAGTCCTAAGATGTGCTCTTTTTGAGTGAAACGTTCTCTAAAACGTGGAAACTTTTGTGACAATCGTTGATTCTAGTTTCTAGGCAAAACAATCGTTGATTCAAAACAACCGATTCACAGATCGATTGGGTAAAAGATAGCAGAGTTGAAACTAGAGCAGATCAAAAACTTGTGCGCGGCTGGGACTCGAACCATTGACCTTTCGCTAACCGAGCAATCGTGCTAACCCACCACAACCCAGCAACCGCTAATCCACCACAACGCACTTCAACGATTTCCCCTACTCCAGAGGGGATTAAGTGAAGCCAATTTCCGGTAGCTTTCTAAAGTTTTCCGGTCTTAGAAAGGCCAAAAACTAATTGGAGATATTTTTGCACTTTTGCACAAGAATTTCTTGATTTAAAATCACATTTCTTGAGTTTAAAATAGCCTTTTTCTTGAGCCTTTTTTAGATTCAATAAAGCTCTTCTCCGAATTCTTCCCGGTATCCCACGAATCAACTCGAATCCAGGCTATGCCCAGAAAAAAGAAGCTGAAGATTTGACGATCAAAGCACGAACAACTTCACTTTCATTGAGAAGACATTTAGAGCAATTATTTGAATTGTATATGATAGGTAAGAAAGAAAGAAAGAAAGAAAGAAAGAAAGAAAGAAATAAAATTTCAATTGATTAGGAATGGGAATTTGCATCTTTGCGTTTTTCTCGGAACGCTTGGTGGATCGCTTTTGGCGGAGTCGGATTGAGCAAACTTATGTCGTGGCTGAAGAGGGGACAAATATCGAGAGAATTCGAGATTTCGTCAGAAAGGTTTGGCGTTGATTGACAAAATGACAAGAAAGACAAAGTGACAAGACAAAGTGATTGATGAAAAGGAAATGAAAATGACAAAATGTGATTTGAAAACGTCTAAATCCTTGAATTCTTGAAAGGTTTTTGGTAAAATTCATCGCATTTCAGGTTTCCACGTCGACTCTTCGCCGAATCGATCGACTCGACTCGACGAATACGCTCGAAATCTCGCAACGCGGTGCTATAAGTGAATTGGAAGCGATTCCCGAAGATGATAATGACTCGATTTTCACAAATGACAATATTAGCAGCTCTCAATAAAAGCTTTACATCAATCCTTTCTATGACTTGGCTTTGCATCAATCCTTTCTATCAATCTATGACTTGCTGGTAGGGTGTTCTGTGCAAACTTGCTACCAATATTACTGCCAATATTATTGCTACTAATATTACTTGACTATTTCTTGACTATTACTTGACTATTTCTGCTCAGAACTTTGTACAATTCTGTGCAATCTTTCACGAAGAAGTGAAGGAATTGAGAAGAAAAGGTAGATTTCTGAAGGGGATTGAACCCATGCTCTGCAAACCTCTGAATCTTTACAATCCAACTGTTAAGCACTTTTCATTTGCTCGTTGATTCGCGAGATTTCATCTTTCTTCCTTTCTTCTCCCTTGTCTTTCCCCCTTTTCTCTCCGCAAATTAAGCTATCAGAGAGCTCAGTGGTTAGAGCAATTCGAGTTAGGTTAGAGCCCGAAAAGCAGAAGGTCCGGGGTAAAATCCCCTCCAGAAATCTACCTTTTCTTCTCAATTCCTTCACGTCTTGGTGAAAGATTGCACAGAATTGTACAAAGTTCTGAGCCCAAAACCCAAGTAAAACTGAACCTTTAAACCTTTTTTCTTTATCTAATTCTTTATCTAGCTCTTTATTCAGTTCCACAAAGCCATTTCGTCACTCTGAAGAACGGCATCTCATTAATCGACAAAAGAAATCAATGAGAGAAAACGGAAATAAACCGAGAAAGAGAAAGAGAAAGAGAAAGAGAAAGAGAAAGAGAAAGAAATAAAAACACAAAGATTAAATGAAAAGAAATCTATAAAAAGGAAAAAGGAAAAAAAGAAAAGAATCGAAATCTATGAACAGTTGTCTCGAATGCAATCCCTTCATTGGGATTTCATTTGGAAAGCACCCTTTGGACTCAAATGAAAACAGTCACACTCTTTCGAATGCTTTGTTTATCGAATCATTTTTAAGTTCAGAAGGATTTTATTTCAAAACTTTTGAGAGTAACTTGATTATAGGACTTTTTTGTTATAATAGCTGTAGAAAGAAGTTTAATTCTGCTAACATTTTACGCTCTACTAGTTTTTTCCCGCGCCATTTCTTCCTTCCCGCACCCTTTCTTCCTTCCCGCACCCTGGTGCACTTGCGATTTATTTTTTTTCTTAAGAAATGCTGTAATATGAAGAGAATGGCTGAAAAGGGGCTGCTGAAAGCTATATTTGAATTTTCAGACTGAACATTTATGAGTTAAGGCATTCACTTCACTACTGACATTTGCTATTAGTTTATTAGTGTTTTAAAATAGTTTCCTTCAAATAATTTTCGATCGATAAGTTCTGATAAGCGGTTCTCGAGATTTCGAGCAAAGATTTGATTCCTTTTCTGTACAGATTTGGTTCCTTTTCTCCAAAGATTTGGTTCCTTTTCTGTACAGATTTGGTTCCCTTTCTGTACAGATTTGGTTCCCTTTCTGTACAGATTTGGTTCCCTTTCTGTACAGATTATGAGTTAAGGCATTCATGAGTTAAGGCATTCATGAGTTAAGGCATTCATGAGTTAAGGCATTCATGAGTTAAGGCATTCATGAGTTAAGGCATTCATGAGTTAAGGCACTCATGAGTTAAGGCATTCATGAGTTAAGGCATTCATGAGTTAAGGCATTCATGAGTTAAGGCATTCATGAGTTAAGGCATTCACTTCCTTTTCTCTACAGATTTGGTTCCCTTTCTGTACAGATTTGGTTCCTTTTCTCTACAGATTTGGTCCCTTTTCTTCAAAGATTTCTTTTCTTCAAATATTTGGTTCCTTTAGGCAACGCTCAGGGTGCACTACTATTAGAGAGAATATGGTATACCGTATTTTCTCTAATAGTAGTGCACCCTGAGCGTCGCCTAAATTGCTCGAAATCTCGAGAACCGCTTATCAGAACCTATCGATGTGGGGTCGGAAAATGTAGCTGAAGATGAGATCTAGTGGGGGGATTTGAGTGTTGAGCTTCTGCAAAAGCTTGGAAACCGTAAAATAGTCACCAACTCGGCTCGCCGGGCTGAAGTGACGGCCTTTTCGGGATGTCCCGTCCTGTCAAAATCTCGTCCCGTGCTCATGTCTAGTATCTCTCCATTCCATTTTTGCTCCAGTTTGCGGCAGAATCAAGAGAAGAAACAAAGAAGGCACTACTATTAGAGAGAATACGGTAAAAATCCACTTTGAAATTGAGATATTTCAATTTTCAGACTGAACACCTATGATTTAAGGCATTCACTTCACTACTGACATTTGCTATTAGTTTATTAGTGTTTTAAAATAGTTTCCTGCAAATAATTTTGAAGTTGAAGTTGAAGTTGAAAGCGTAATGTGCTTTTCTTTAAAGATGTTGTTTTAGATTTGCTTGAACGATTTGATTTTGATTGATTCACGGTTGATTGATCAACGATTGATTCACGGTTTCGTAAAAATCGTAAACTGGTGTATTTGATTTAAAACAGGTAACCACATTTAGCTTTGACTTAACTGTGACTTAAGTTACCGTATTCTCTCTAGTAGTAGTGCACCCCGCCGAGCCGAGTTGATGACTATTTCACGGTTTCCAAGTTTTTCAGGTTTCCAAGCTACAAATTGTTAACCTATTGTGATTAAATTTTAATGACAAAACTCTCAGAATCATTGAAGAAAATGAAAATTGATTAAACCAGCTTCACCGTTTTTTGTCACCGTAGCGCAGTCGGGGGCACGCTAGTCTACAGCTCGCACGATCCAAGTTCGACCGCAATGTCACTCAATTTTGACCAAAAACATAAACTCTTTGATAAATTCTCAGGTACATTCTCAGGTTCTCAGGTACTCTTTGATAAATTCTCAGGTGCGTAGTTTAGCTTTGAACAAGTTTTTCTCGACACTGGTTTATGCTACAATATGCGTTTAGATATCAAAAAATAGCCCTGAATTTCAGCTTTCATTTGACACTTAAGCGGGCATTGTAGCATAAAACCAATGTCGAGAAAAACACGTTCAAAGCTAGACTACGCAACACTTCGCACCGTTCTAGCTTTGAACAAGTTTTTCTCGACACTCGTTTATGTTACAATGTGCGCTTTGGTATCAAAAAATAGCCCTGAATTTCAGCTTTTATTTGATACTTAAACGAGCGCTGTAGCATAAACCAATGTCGAGAAAAACTCATTCAAAGCTAGACTACGCAACACTCCGCGCCGTCAATATGGGGATGCGGTACTATTACAGTATTTACGGTAACTTTATATGTTATAGTCTGTCTGTTCTAGTCTGTTATCTGTTTTGAAATCCTCCATTAGCTTTATTTGTTTATTTTCCCTAATCCGTTATCGGAGAAGTGAACACGTTTTTCTCTATTTTCTTTATTTCTTTCCTTTTCCCAGAAAGAGTGCCCAAATTTAGGAGATTTCTCGATGAAAATAGGATTTTTTTTTGGGAAAAGAGGTTATTTTTACGTTTTTTTTCGCGTTTGCACCTATTCTATTGCATTTTAAGCTTTGTTTTTTATTTAAATTTTAACAATCTCGATTCGTTTTACTAAAAAATGTAGTTTTCAAGTGAAATTTGTTAGTAAAACGAATCACATCTTTGCTCAGTTCAAGACAATTGCATCTTTGATAAGGAGGAGTCTACGATTTGAAGTTCTTTTCGAATCGTTCGATTTTAAGCTCGATTTTCGGGCGGTGGGACAAATGCGACCTTTTTTGCGCACCTGGACATTTGCGCACCTTTTTTTTGCTGGAAAAGGCCTTAGGAAAGGTCGTAGAGCTTCAAAAATGATTTCATCGAAGGGAATCGTATGCGTAGATTCCGAATTTCGACAAATCAGACCTCGCTGACACGTCAAATTTGGGCTAAAAGGCAAAAACTGCGGAAAAGCGTTAAGTTGCGTAGTTTTTGCCTTTTAGCCCAAATTTGACGTGTCAGCGAGGTCTGATTTGTCGAAATTCGGAATCTACGCATACGATTCCCTTCCATGAAATCATTTTTGAAGCTCTACGACCTTTCCTAAGGCCTTTTCCAGCAGAAAAAAGGTACGCAAATGTCCAGGTGCGCAAAAAAAGGGTCGCATTTATCCCACCCCCCGATTTTCAGTTCGATTTTAAGTTCTTTGCATTAGTTCTTTTCAAAACTTGTTAGTTTTCAAATCTTCAAGTCTAGTATTCGATTCATTCATTCCTAATCCACTTATTTAAGCCATCACTTTCGTAAGAGCCTCAAAATAACAAAATTAACAAACGAAATTAACAAACGAAATTAAACAAACGAAATTAAACAGAAAAAACTAAACTAAATAAACAAAATTCAATAAAATTTAACAGAATTCAACAAAATTTAACAAATTTACCAAACTTTTGAGTCAAAATTGAACCGATTGCTTATCAAAATGAATAGTTGAATTTCTACTAGCCCAATTAGAAACCACTCTTCTACAGGGTATCTCAAAAGTTATACTTTTTCTTTTTTCTTTCTTTTTTCCTTGAAAAAACAAATAAATTTCAAAAAAGTAACACCAGATTCCATAAATTCAGACATTTTTTACATCAAATGAGCCTATTTCCATCAAAAAGAATGACTCTCAACAACAAAATTTTGACTCTCAACAACTTTTTGAAGTAGAAGAAATAGAAGAATTAGAAGAACTAGAAGAATTAGAAGAAGTAGAAGAAGTAGAAGAAGTAGAAGAATTAGAAGAAGTAGAAGAATTAGAAGAAGTAGAAGAAGTATAAGAACTAGAAGAAGTATAAGAACTAGAAGAAGTATAAGAACTAGAAGAAGTATAAGAACTAGAAGAAGTATAAGAACTAGAAGAAGTAGAAGAACTAGAAGAAGTAAAAGAAGTAGAAGAAGTAGAAGAAGTAGAAGAATTAGAAGAAGTAGAAGAAGTATAAGAACTAAGTAGAAGAACTAGAAGAAGTAGAAGAAGTAGAAGAAGTAGAAGAATTAGAAGAAGTAGAAGAATTAGAAGAAGTAGAAGAAGTATAAGAACTAAGTAGAAGAACTAGAAGAAGTAGAAGAAGT